CAGTTATGTTTTATCGGCTAAGCTAAGGCACCTGACATCGCAATCGCAAGGAACATAGCCATGGCGCTACGACGCGTGTTGGATATCCGACGAGCATATCGAACCGGCGAGGACCCACCCGGTGGTGGTCCATCCTGAAGCAGAGGCATATCCTTCACACTCACCATTCCTGGCTTCTTCTCCGTCATCTTTCCTCAACCTCTCGACTAATTCCGATCACTGGATCCGATTTTGCTTAGCCAAGTGTTGTTCTAGGGTTTTCTGATGAAGAAATGAAAACAACAAAAACAAAAAGAGACAATTTTTATTTCTTTGTTTCTTCTTTTTTATAATAAAATGGGCTTTAAGAGGCCCAAGCCCATTTTATTACCAAGTCACGTGATTATGTTTTCCTCTTCGATTTAAAAAGCCCTAAAATTTTCAGATATTTTTCAGCCGCCGTTTTGATTCTATTGCCGACGTCGGAATCAAATCGAAGAAGATGGTGGGATTTAAGAATAGATTCATGTTGATGGAAGTTTTTCTGGATCCAGACAAGGATCTACTCGGAGGAGAAAAATCTCCGATTATACTTACACCATTCAATGTCGCCGAAGCAATCAAAGACAGTATCCGCATCAATTTCGGCGAGTGCGGTCTCGGATCTTCTCTCGGATCATTCGACGTGAAATACGTGAACGAAATCACAAAGCTGTGCATCGTAAGATCATCAAGAGAAGATCACAGACAAGTTTGGTCGGCGATGACGTTGGTCAAGAGCATCGGAAACTATCCGGTGATCTTTAACTTGCTCGATATCACCGGTTGCGTCAGAACGTGTAAAGAAACAGCATTGAAGTGCGAGAAAGAGAAGTTTGAACAATGTAGCAAAAGTTTGTCTGAAGATGAGAAGCGGAAACATTCCAATTATTTAGAGAGGATCAAGAATTTTAAAACTTGAAAAGTTTTTGTTTTCGGTTCTCAGATGCTTTAGAAGTAGAGTTTCTTTAGGCTTCGTCTTTCGAATTTGTCTCTTTCTGTGTGTATGATTTTGAATTATTGATATACAAAGTAGAACAATCTTGATGAAATTCTCTGAAATTCTGGGTTTTTATGTTGAAATTGAAACAGAGGTATCTTTCTGTTCTGTAATCGAGATGGCGTTTTTTGGTAAAAATTGAAAATTTAAGGGCCAGAAGTGCAAAGTCGTTGAATTTTTCAAAGCTTAATAATAAACCACGACAATCTGATAAGCACTTGTTGTGTCTGAGGTCATTCAAACTTTGGTGGTGGAGAAGAATCGAAACGGTATGGATCATAACCCGTCAAAGTCTCTTACCTTTTCTTTAGCGATTACTTGCTCTTGTGCGATGTAGTTCACTTGATCCTTTGAGGGGTTTTTTATTTGTTCGTAATTGGATTTTGTAGTGGGTCTTTTGTTCATGCGTGTTAACTGTTCGATGAAATGCCTCAGAGAGCTTGTAGTAAAAACTGTCTTTGTTGTTTGGTATCCTAGCTCGTAAGATTTGATTCTTAGCTTTAGCTTTGTTGCTTTTTAGAAATTTCTTGATGTTTTAGTCATGCGTTTAGATCCCATCAGTGATATTAAGTTTTGTGTTAAATTGTGTGTTGGTTCTAGTTATCTTCATATTCAACCAAAAATTTTAGAGCTGAGTTGATCAATTGTGGAGTCTGTGATAATGTGCAGGAAATGAGATCCCCTAGAATCTTGGAGGTTTGGAAGCTAGGCACTGTCAACTATTTGAAGTCCCTTAAACTTCAAGAGAAATTAGTTTCCGAGAGGAAAGATCATCGAATCCCCGATACCCTCCTCTCGCTTCAGCATCCACCAACTTACACGCTCGGAAAACGTAGAACCGATCACAATCTACTGATCCCTGAATCTGAACTTACTAAAATTGGAGCTGAGCTTCATTATACTCAAAGAGGAGGAGATATCACTTTCCATGGACCTCACCAAGCAATCTTATATCCCATCATTTCCTTACGCAGCATCGGTATTGGTGCCAGGAACTATGTAGAGACACTGGAGCGGTCAATGATCGAGTTTGCTTTGATTTATGGCGTGAAAGCTCGAGCAGGGCACAAATGTGAGACTGGGGTTTGGGTTGGGGACAGAAAGATCGGTGCTATCGGGGTTCGTATATCCTCTGGTGTCACTTCTCATGGTTTGGCCTTCAACATAGATCCTGATTTGAAGTACTTTGAACACATTGTGCCTTGTGGGATTGCTGATAAAGAAGTTACATCTTTGAGAAGAGAGACTGAAACTCTGCTTCCTTCAGAAGAAGTGATTCATGAGCAATTGGTTTCTTGTTTGGCCAAAGCGTTTTCTTATGATGATGTTGTGTGGAAGGAAGATCCTTCACTCATTTTGGACACCCATGAGGATAACGAATAAGTCTGTATTTTTTTTTTCAATCTTGGCGTATTTTGATCTCTTTGTGTCTACGAACAATGTCTGCTTCTTACTCTACGCAATCGGATCAGTTTCGCAAACAGGATAGAAACCATAACGAAGAACATTTTGTTATATTATTTCATTTGATCATTTATATAACATCATCACAAATTTCACAATCATATCAAATTACTTCCATGGTAAACATATAGGTTGTCTACCAAGCCTGCATACACGATCAGGTTTGATATTCCAATCACATGTATAACATACATCTTGATCCCTCTCGGCTTCAAATATATCAAACCATTTGACCTGATTATTCCATCCAAAACTACAATAAAACAATGTTGATTTCCATATATTTGTTCCAAATTTAAAATGGTAATTTCCATTGGAAGGCACTGTGTGAACCCCCAAATCATTTTCTTTAGATTTGCAATGAACGGTAAGAAGTGGACCGCCAAGAAGATTTGTCATCTTGACGATGGTAGGAGGCCAAAATGGCTTACCTTGACTCGAACCAAATAAAACAAAGATGGACATAAAAGCGATAGAAAGTCTTGGCAGATTTCTCATTGATATGGTTTTTCGTTCTATGTATGTTTAAAGTAATAAAATTGTTATTCGAGTTGAATTTATAGTAATTTGGAATGGCTCGACATTTGCAAAACACATTATCCTAAGTTTTCAACTCGAGTTACCAATACCAAACGAACAAGCAAATGAGCATTTAGTGAGGTTAGATCGCGGATTGTGTACGTGAAACTTGTCGTCCAAAGACATGAACAAAACAAGGTATTGACAGCTCATTTGCTGAAACTTGATATAAATATTCAATTAGTTTATTTTTATTTTTAATAAGATGTAATCCGATACTAATTAAAATTTTCTTCCTTTTTAGAAAAAGTATTAATGTAATATCAAATTTTCCTTATTTGTTAATAGCACTATCAACTAAAAGTATTTTTATATAAATTAAATAAAAGATGTTAAGATCTAATCATGTTTAATCATTCGCAATACGGAACATAGATAGTAAAACAAATAGAGTCCATAACGAAGAACGGGGGAGATAAAATAGATGAAGATGGCAAAGACATGACTAAAACCCATGATAATGTCACAAGGTTGCAATATTAATTTGTAGTACTACTCCATATATAACCGCAGAGAGAGAAAAAAAATAAGATTGAGATTAGTACGAAGGTCTTGATGATTCGATTCCGTTCTGCAAAAGCTCCATCATAGCCGAGCGCAAAACATCAGTCTCTGGCTCATCCGGTTTAAGAATGATAGCCATTAATGTTGCTAAAGGGAGCAAGTTGTTTGGATCTTCCTTTTTCAATATATTGATAATTTCCCTTAGCCACGGATCAGGTTTCCTCTCAGCGTCAGGAAGTAGACTTAGAAACATAGAGAGTCCACCAAGAATCACAAGTGTGGCGTTCAAAAAATACAACCAATTAGCGTATTCCTCAAATCGAGCGATGATTGAGCTCCACAACAAACCGCATCCAACCAGGTTCATGGCACAATATGACTCACAAGATACCAAGTCCTTTTTGTTTTGCTTACCTCCCAAAAAAAAACCTTTTTTGTGATGTGTAGATCTTTTGAAATATATCATGAGAATGCGATTTTTATGGGGAGATAAGCTCTAGATTATCCACTAGCTTTATGGGATTTGTTACGTTCGTATATATTGGAACCCTATATATTTTTGGGGGATTTTAATTTATAGTCGAGATATTTTACTTTTGATATATATGCCGATCGAGGAAATAGTGTTAGAAAACAAGAGAACATCTTAGGTTCCTTCACCATATCCAACGTATATATATAAAATCAATTTTTCGTAAGAGAAGTTTTTGCCAAGATTCATTTATTGTTGTTTGCGACTTTGATTCGAGGACAAAACTCTGTGTGTTTGTGATTTTGTTTGCTTTTTAATATTGAGATAGACTCATAGAGAGAGATGTAATGTTTTTCATGTTTTAAGCTTTCTCAATAGCTAAAAACGAAAATCGGTTGTGTAGGCATTTTGCCAACATATACATGATACGTAATAACATATCTTATTTGTTTATTAAGATACAGACCTTTCTAATTGCAACGTCTTAAGAAAGAACAGATATCCTTTTTAGATTTGTATAAGAATTCTTAATGGAAAAAATATATGATTATCTTAACAAAATTGAAAACTTGCTGAAAATCAAAATAATTTCATATTATTTTAACGTAATCAATCAAAAAGATGAGTTATTTTTTTTTTTTGTCAATCGGGCTTTTATTAAATTTAAAATTCAGTTATATTTGGGCCATTTAGAGTCTGTTTGGAAATAGAGTCAGCTAATCCATTAGCTTCTCTAGGAATAGACTTAAACCTGATAAAATGAAAATCTGGTAAAAGAGCAAAAAGATCAGATAAAATTCCATGGATCTCCAGAAGTAGGGATCTGGATTCGATGAGGATCATCGAATCGGAGTGGAAGGTGATGGAGTTGTAGCCGAGTCTTCTCGCATCAAGCATCGCAGCACGAAGGGAGAGGGCTTCTCCCATTAACGGTGAAGCGACTGAGGAGATCACATCAGATTTGCTTATGTTAATGCCTGGGCCGTGGATTCCAAGCTGCATCGGTGCAGCAGTTTATCGTCCCATCCTGAAGGATTTGGGGACTTTTATGAGGGTCACAAAGCTTCCGAGGAAGGCATGTGATTGATTGGGCGAGGTTCCATTCTCTTGCATCCTGAATAGCTTTGAGAATGATCTCCTCCGAAGCGAAGCATCTCTTGTTGAAGATCTTCTGATTTCGAGCGATCCAAAGAGCCCAAAGGATCCAAGGGGATAGAGTATCGGATTTTAATCCCATCGGAGGTAGTGTGTAGAGGGATTTTGCGGACTTAATACCTGAGATGACATCGTGATCTCGGAGTGGTCTAGAGCGTTTGCTAGTGGAGCCTTTGTCCATACCTCCTCGGACAGTGGAACAGAAGATGCATGACTGATTTTGATTCATTGCAATTCGGGCAATTTGAAGAGACCGGAATCTGTCTGATTTCGAGTTGTTCACCAACAGGTAGAGCTTCATGTATTGCTTTCCAAATGAAAGTTTTGACTTTGGGTGCAGCTTTAGTTTTCCAAACTAGGGAATTCCAGTCGATGGAGTGTTGATGGTTGGTTAGTTGATTGTTTTCCTCCTCCTTTGACGCCATGTAATAGCCTGTTCTTGTTGTATATTCACCAGATGGATGGTTGAGCCATTTGAGTTTATCCGGAGCTCCTAGCAAGCTTGACTTCAAAGTGAGGATTTGCTCCTTGTGGAAAGGTAAGATTTGATCTATAAGCCTCTGGTTCCAGTCTTTTGAGTGTGGGTTGAGTAGGTCTGAGACTGTGAGATGTTGTGTTTGTTCTGTTTGAGGTCCCATTGGTCTTTGTTGGTCCGAAGTTGAGGGCCATGGTTCGGACCAAATGTTGATTGATTCACCATTTCCTATCACCCATCCTAGCTGCTTTTTCATTAGAAAATGTTTTTTTCTTTGTTTTTTTTTGGTCAACTTTGATTTGTTAAATTATCTCTCTTTCTATTATGG